GGCCGCAGCGGGCCCAGCACTTTTTTTTTCTAATACAAAATCTTAACTTTCACTTATTATCCTTATCCCTACCCAGACTGGGCCCCGCGCAATCCGTTTCGCATAGGGCCCTGCAATGGTTAGGGCCGGCCCTGGATGTCAGTTACATTAACAGCAAATGACATGCATTGGATGCTTCCGACATTTTTTTCTGAGGAAAAGAAATAAAAAATCCTGACGGCGGGCTCTACTACTGGCATCGGCCTCGGACCAGCGACGGACCTAACGATGTCGTTTTAACAGTTTGCACCATCTGCAAAGTCGACAAATTGTCTGTTTTTAAAAAAAAAATGTTTAAGCGATAAAAAACCAAAAAAAAAAAAAACCAACAAGAACAATAGGTGTGATGAAATGAAATTACTTTATCGTTGAATCCGTTTTTGTCCAGTAATAAATATCTTTAAAACACAGAATAAATGATGTGTATTGTGTCATAAGAGGTTGAAGTGGCGTCATATATATATATATATATATATATATAAATTTTATCATACCCCACCCACCCCCTCCCATATCCCTACCCAGATTTATAAATAAAGATAAATGCCGCAATCCACCCCATTCTCGACACGGCTTAGCGTGGACAGCAACACATTAGCACGTGACTTACTCCAACATGCAGCGCTTGACCCCTGACCCCACTCACCGTGTTTACCCCTGCCAGTCAATGTCACATCACAGGGGCGGCAATCAGATCCTGACAGCCGGGGGTAAACAGAGGGCCAGCCTCAAGACAACGGCAGATGTAGCTCACGCAGAGACTTCTTGCTGCATGCGTGCGTACATCAGGGCGCTCAAACGGTGAGGCATCCCCTCCCCCCCCCCAACGCACCCCTGCACTTGTCGATTTGGTGTCGGGGGGAGGAGGAGAGAGCTGGGAGAGAATAATTCCAAAAATATATACAATCTAACACATTTCCTGTGATAGTGTTTCTTTATTTTGAGCTAAACGTGAGATTTTGTCTTTTTTTTTTTTTCCCCAAACCCAATATCACGTGTTTCGCCATTGTGACGTAACAGGAAGTAGATAAGTCGTAGGAAAACCGTTTGTTAGAGAAAATGGACACAGGGACATGCTTCAGTGATTCTCGAGAAAATTTTAAAGTCTTAACGCAAAAATAGGAAGCATATTTATGAATGCATATCTCGGCACATGACTGCGTTGATCTTGTTTTATTGCGGATAGAACTGAAGTAATTTAAAGGCCCTGTCTTGGTACATAATCTTGGTACATAATCATGCATGTTTATTGCACCAGCATAGATAAACTGTTAACGACTGCCGTACACTCATAAAGTTGCTAATGTATATGAGCCATTGCTTGTACGTGCCTTGAGAACCCCTGATTGATTATACGATGAAGGTCAAGGAACATGCGAAGTCTGCCGTTGGTTATGGAGATAACCTTCCCTGTCTATTAGAATCTTACTTTCCTTAATGGTATCTATTATCTCGGAGGCCACCATCCCGCTGCTCTACGTGCTGCGAGCGCCCCCCCCCCCCCCCCCGCCTCCAAAAGTATTACGTTCCCCCCCCCAAGAATGGATTCGTCCAACTTAACCTTCCCTGTCTATTAGAATCTTACTTTCCTTAATGGTATCTATTATCTCGGAGGCCACCATCCCCCTGCTCTACGTGCTGCGAGCGCCCCCCCCCCCCACACCGCCTCCAAAAGTATTACGTTCCCCTCGCCAAGAATGGATTCGTCCAACATGCGGGTCATAGGGTAAATGGAGGATTGGAAGAAGTGACGCTTTTGTCAATTGTGTCACCAGAGGTTTAAGACCGTACTGTACATTCCTTGCCATTGCTGCGCTATTTCTCTTTAATGTCAAGATTTAATGGCCGGTGGTGGTGGGGGGGGGTGTCTCAAACTTGTACAGTCTTTAAAAAACCTGGTTCCTTGATGCGGTAAATATATTGACTGCTCCTGATGTTATCCACGGTGTCCAAGCATTGACCACTGCCGAAAGTGGCATCCACCATTTATGAAAGCCGAAACAAAATACGCCTTTGTGCATGTGTGGGGCCGAAAAGTTAGGGTGCAAGGTTTGGGGGGAGGGGGAGCGCGCATAATTGAACAGAAAATTAAAATCTTTGTAAAGGGGTATTTAATGTGCATGAAATATTCTTTTCATTTTTAGCTGTAAAGTTATTTTCAATGATTGTGTGTGTGTGCGTGCGTGATTGTGTGTGTGTTAACCTCAAAATTTCAAGGAGCCACTTCCTCCCTTAACGATCACTCCTGTGGTTTTGTCTTGAACACAGAAAGAGTTCGTTATAACCGGCGACCCCCAGACACGAAGCACCAAACAAAAAAAAACAAAAAAAAATCAAAGTACAATAACAAGAGTAAGATAATGTTAGTGACGCCTGGTGAACGCGAGGGAACCACCAACGAGCTGACACGTGCGTGTTAAAACAAAAGCCGACCCTGAATCAATATAAGCAGACACCCCCTCCCCCGGGTGGGGGGGGTGAGGGGGCGGGCCGGGCGGGGAGTCTAGCTAGGGGCAACAATGTGACCACATCGGTGTGGGAGAAATGGACCACAAATTATATGAACGGTTCTTTAAATAAAATGTTGTCTTGATTAAAAGAAAAAAAAAAGAAAAAAAGTCCTCGAACACGGTGAAACTGAAATGGATGAATAAAAAAATAAAATTTTTGGTGTACATATATTGTGTATGTTTGTATGTATCGGTTACAGATGTTTCTAAAATAGTACCCGGAAAGCTTTGTAATATCATCGAGATCACAGATTTTCAAATGGATAGAGACCTGCATTGTGTTAAGAGTAAAATATCTTATTCCCCTTGGGTTTAGGGAGATATTTTTTTTTTTTTTTAAATATAAGGAAATAGGAGGGGAGAGGGGGGCTCAGAACAAAGACATGTTTAGATCCGTTGACGTTTTGGTGTGACACTTGCCGGTGTACAAAATCTGCCAGGATTAGAAACTCCTTGTTTTAAGTTGTAGGAGATGTCACAATATTGTGTGAAACAATATGGGCAGACAAATGAGAATACATGAACACTTATTGTTACGCATCGTGAAGGTGTTTATGAGAGCGCACTGTTAGGATTCGGTTTGAAACTCCCAATTGTTTCTTTTTTTTTTTTTTTTTTTTTTTTTTTTTTTTTG